GCCGCAGGGGAAGGAGGAGGATCAGGAGGAGGAGGACCACTAAACCCAAGATGCGTCAACGATGCTAGGAGGAGGAGGAGGAGGAGGAGGAAGAGGAGGAGGAGGAGAATGAGGAGGAAGAAAACCACAGTAAACCCAAGATGCGTCAACGATACTGCAATACACCCTCATGTCCCAAGTTGCCTCCCCAGATGTCACTACCACCCCAGGAGGCACCCCTTTGACAGGCGAGCACCGCACGGGCCTGCCATGCACACGAACGGCCCGTTTTGACAAGGAACGTTCTGCCCTTTTTCCTGGCGCGAAGTGTGAGGAACGCGGCCATGTAGGATCATACATTTAACGAGGCGTCCAGTGATACCCCTGGTTTGAATAGAACACGCCCCACACCCATGCAATAGTTGCACAAGGTCGCATTCGTTGTCGTTACATTTATAGAGACCGCTTGCGAAAGCCCGTTTTGCAAAGAGTCGCCCTCCATCGGTTCCAGTTCAGCTGCGACACGTGTGCTAGTTCCCGATCGTTACATTTGAAAAAGTCACAAGCGAAAACCCAAGTTTTAAATGGAGCCGTCCATCGGAGAAAACTGCTGCAAGACTTGAGACGAGCTCACGCGGCGCGAAAGCGAGAGACCCATTTGGAAGACGATTCCTTTTTGTTTTCTGCAAATGCCATACAGGTTTTAGTGCTAAAGATGATCGGTTCAATTTTGAAACAAGTATCGCCCACCATTTTTGTAGGCGTTGCAATTTTCTGAAGCGAAACAGCGCGACGCTGAAGCGAAAGCCTCATTTTGAAATGGAGCCGATTGGCTTATTATCAAAAGAACTCGCCTCTATCCGTGTAATTGTCGCCGGTGGTCGCACATTTGCGTGTTGTTTTTGTTTTATAAAGAGATACATATATATTTATATATATATATACATGCATAAAGAGAGAGAGAGAGAGAGAGAGAGACAGAAAAAGTAGCAGGCGACAGCCCCCATGTGCCTCCATACTTGTAGCTGCCGTAAAAGTGGTAGACGAACGTGCGCGGCGCGGGTGGGGAATGCCCCATTTTGAAAGTGGGCGGCGCTGGGGTGAGAAGCCCTATTTTGAACAGGGCCCGGCCTCCATTCGTGCCGCCGTCGCAAGGTTTTTCGGGGCGAGAGGAGAGCGTGCGCGGTGTTAAGGCGGCAGCCTTGTTTTCAGAAGGTCCTGGCCTCCGTCCGTGTAAGGGTTGGAAACGTTGAGCTTTGGGACAGTGAGTTGCCAGGAGGTCTCGGGCGGCAACGCGCGGGCCAAACTGCGGACTTGCCCCGTGGTGCGACCACGGCGCATTATCCAGTTGGAAAGGGGCCATTCGGATTTGGGCTCGGACCGAAGCATCCTTGGGCGATGGCGACGAAGGAGGCAGAAGGTGCGGGCCTCGTGCTCGTCGTCCTCCTCCTCATCTTTCCTCCTCCTCCTGTGCCTCCTCCTCGTTTGACTCCTCCTCTACCACCTCCTCCTCCTCCTCCTCCTCTGCCTCCTCCTTCTCCTCGGCCTCGTCCTCCTCTCCCTCCTGTGCCACCTCCTCCTCCACCTTACCTTCATTTTGACCTTTATTCTAAACTCCTCTCCCTCCTCCTCACCCCTCAGCCCAGCAAAGGACAGCGGGGACTGGCACCACCCCAATGTCTAGTGCCCCCGCATGCTTTCTTCTTGTGTCGAGTGGTCGGCGTGGGCAGTGTGGCCTTCACCCCTCGGCCTAACAAAGGGCAGGCCGGACGGGCACCACCCCGAAGCCTAGGGCAGCCGCATGCTCTCTTCTCGTGTCGAGTGGTCGTCGCCGGCGTCAGCGTCGTCGTCGTTTACCTTCTTCTGAGTGAGCGCGGAGCTGCTCGCACCCGTAACATGGTGGACCTCCCACACGCCCGAGCGCGAGGGATATCGCCGCGCTGCCCATTCCAAAGGCATCGCCCCTGCCAGCGTGGCCCCCTTCTCTCCAGAGGCCACAGGGGCGCCACAGGCGAGTCCAGGCTGAACGCGTGTGGAGGGCCGCCCTTTTCGTGTTGTGCGCAGAGGCGCACGGGAGGCCGATTTCTTTGTGTAGGAACTTGGACCTGCCTCCACGCGTCTATCCTATCCAATATTATCCTCCCCGTTTCTCCCTCTCTCTCATTACTTATCGTTGTGTATAGGTTGGTTGTTTGTGTTTTTTTGCTCTCTTTCTCTCTCTGTCTCTCTCTCTCTCTCTCTCTCTCTCTCTCTATTTATATATCTTATTTATACACATATAGATATAGACATACATAGACACACATATATATATATATATATATATATATATAGGTATACATATATATACACAGGGAGTTCAACAACAACTCGACGGGCATGCCCGGCTTCAGTCTCGCGGACCTACTCTAAAATCATACGTTTAAAATTCCGTATGTTCATTCATGCTTTGCCGTCATCGCGCGAGTGATAGGCGAAAACCTAGAATTTTAAATTCTTTATGTGTAGAAGTCCTTGTTATGTAAACCTCCTTGTATGTATGTGTATATATATATATATATATAATGTACAGGGAGGGCGTCCCAGGGCCCCGGAGTGCACTGATTTCTCTTCCCGCCGTTTTGGACCCAGCGGGGGTGCCAGAACGCGTCAAAGGAGGGGAAGGGGGGCAACGAGAAGGCCCGAGAGACGTCCCCGAGGGCGCCAAGATGGCCCAAGAGCGCTCCAAGAGAGCCCAAGACTGCACAAGAGCTGGTCCAACATGGCTTAAAGACAGCTCAAGAGGGCTTTGAGACGTTTAAGATGCCATCTAAAGGACTCCCACGAGGCTCAGGAGGCGAACAAAGTAGGTTTTCGATGGATTTTGAGGGTTTCTCGTGTTCTCGCTGTGTGGGGCGTCCGACGGTCCAAGACAGCCCACGAGGCCCCAGAAATTAGCTCGAGACGGCCCAAGAGGCACCCAAAGAGGGCGCCACGACGGCGCAAGGGAGGAGTCCCAAGACGGCCCAAGAGTGCCTCAAGACGGCCCAAGAGGCGCCCAAGATCGCCCAAGAGGGCCCCAAGACGGCCCCAAGAGGGCCCCAAGAGGGGGAACACGAACCGACAAATCGAGCCTTCCGCCCAAGAGGCTCTCAGGAGGCCCCAAGAGGCCCCCAAGAGAGCCCAAGAGGCCCCCTAGAGGTCCCATAGAGGCCCCACGAGGCCCCAAAGAGGCCCCCCCAAAGGCCCCAAGAGCACCTCAAACGGCGCCCAAGAGGCCTCCAAAACTGCCTTCAAGAGGCCTCCGAGAGGCCTCCCACGAATTCCAAACGAATTTCCAAGAGGCCTCTAACCCACAACCAAGGCATGGTGACCAGATGGGCCGAAGACGCCCAAGACGGCCTCCAGACGGCCCAAGAGGCCATCAAGATACCCAAGAGGCTTCCAGGAGGTCTCCCAACAGAGTTCGAAGAGGCCAAACAACATGTATTGTCCGTAGGTTTGTGGAGGGCGATCAATGGAGAGGAAGCATGATGCCAAATACTTTCCAGATGTCTACAGAAATGTCTCAAACATGTTCTAAATACGATAAAACATGTTTGAACCATTTTTAGAACATGCTTTACACATGCTAAACGCATCTTTTATTCAATGATAGGATTGTTAGAGTGTCCATTGTCATGGCATCCACAGCCGTAGGTTTTTGAACAATTTTAACGTTTCCGCCTGTTCCGCTCCCCGACGCTGCAAAACGCCCCAAGAGGCTCCGAGGGGCGCCCCGGGACGGCCCGACAGGCCTCAAAAGCGTCCCAAGGCGGCCCAACAGGCTTCAAGAGCGCCGAAGGGACGTCCAAGGCGGCCCGAGAGGGCCCCAAGCGCGGGCCAGGATCGAGAGCGCGAGCCGAGAACCCGAGATCTTCGCCCAAGGAGACCCCCAGGAGGCTTGAAGAGGTCCCCAAGAAGCCCCGAAGAGGCCCAAAAGGGCTCCGAGAGAGGCCCCGAGGGCACTTGAGAAGGAACGGGGATTCCAACATTTGTCGTTTTAAGTTCGCCTGGCAGCTTCGCTACGCTTGCAAAAAAGAGGAAGTATTAGATTTCCTCCTCTTCCTCCTCCGGTTCCCCCTCCTCTGCGGCCTCCTCCACCCTCCCCGCTCCTCCTCGTCCTCCTTCTCCCCCAGGGAACCCCTTCACCTCCCCTTCTCCTCCCTCTTCCTCCGGATACGTCCAGCCGCGGCGAATAAAAGAGCCCTCGAAGTTCATGTTGGGCCTGTCTTAAGCCGTCGTGGGTGGACCGTAGGAAGTTTTGGAAACCACTTGGGCCGTCTTCGTGGTTCTTGGAAACCCCAGAGAAGAAGTGTCATGGAATAGAGATCCCTAGGGGTTCGACCATCCAGCCTAGCTAGAACTTGAGCGCGCGCGAAGCCCGCGCGATGTTTCTAGTACGTATTCATACATGTATGTATATTTTTGTACATGTGTGTACTTATCTATGTCTGCCCTCCCCGCGACCCACCCGCGACCCACTCGCGACCCACCCACGACCCACCCGCGACCCACCCGCGACCCACCCACAACACCCGCGACGCACCCCGCAACCCACCTGCGACTCGCACGCGACCCACCCGCGACGCACCCCGGGCCCGCCCCCCCACTTATCCGGACCTGCGGTGTGCTACATACATGTGTCTACACGTCTATAATTATATACACACACACGCTCTCTCTCTCTCTCTTTGTTGTTCTCCCCCCTCTTTCACACTCGTTGTGTCGTCTACCTTCTCCTTCTCCCACTTTCTCCTCCTATTGCTTGCTGCTCCTACCCCTTGAAGTTGCAATTATCTTCTCTCACTCTGCCACCCAGCCCGCCGACAGGTGGACGTGTTTTTCTCCAACATGGGCGTGTTGTCGTCCACGATGCAAAATGCGTGGCAGGAATGGGACGCGGCGCACATCGCACGCGAAGTCGCGACATGCCGCGGTCGTTTCAGCGCCCTGCATACTTGCGACTGGAAGTTGAGTTTTGTTTCCGCTTGGGTTACCGC